TATTTTGACTCAGGCTTTCCCTAAATTGTCCCAACTAGTCTCAAACTTGCAATCCTTCTGCCTGAGCCTCCAAGAGTACTGAGATTAGGGGCATGCACCTCATCTCCCTCCCGAAAGGTTTTTTTTTTTTTTCGCGGTACCGGGGGTTGAACTCAGGACCTTGTGCTTGACTAGACAAGTGCTTGTATCTCCTGAGTTATCTCCCCGGCCCCTCCCAAAAGTTTTTAAACTTTGCGAGGAGGTTCACCCAACCCGGGCTCCAGGAGAAATGACATCAGGCAGTCAAGCCGCAACACACAGACACGAGGGGGAGGTGTCCCTTAGTAGTATATTTCTGTGTTCACACGAACACACACGCACGCGCGCGCACACTCGACACAGAATGGGGAGCGAGGTGGGGACAGAAGCATCTGGGTGGTACTGACACGCGGGTGGTGGTAGGGACAAAGACAGCATCTGTCCTCACTCCAGCCCCACCACCTCCTCCCCGAGCTGGAAGAACAGGAAGTGCTTATTCTCTCTGAGCAAAGTCTCAAGGTGCAGTCCCTTTTTCCAAAGCGACTTCCTGTCACTCTGCCCGCGCAGCTGGCGTGGGTCAAGGCCACCAGGAAGGAAGAGCGTTCAGGCCTCAGCTTGGGCCCAGCAGGTTCAGGCATAGTGGCTGCCGGGGGTCAGCGGGTGGTCCCCTCTGTGGTCCAGCTGGTCCTGCAGGCGTGCGAACTCGGCCAGTTCGTTGAGCTCCTGGAACTGCCGGTCTGTCTTATGGCTGACCAGCGAGCGGTAGAAGTGCACGGCGAAAACGATGAAGACCAGGCCGAAGGGGACCATGATGGTGGTGGAGGCGATGGCTGCCGCCTGGCCTGGTGTGATGCTGGTGTCGTTGGCAGCTGTGTCACCACCCGTGGGCGGCTTGCTGGTGGGGCGAGGCTGGCCTGGCTGCTTTTTGAGCGGCAGGAACTTGACCCAGCAGAGCAGCACGACCTCGGCCAGGAACAGCAGCGTGCCGATGACGGTGGAGAAGGCCCAGGCCAGCTCGATGTGGCGATGCATGCGCTCGTGCGGCGACTCCTTGACCGAGTTGAGGTTGTGCACGTTGCTCACCGCCTCAATGTTGGGCAGGATGCAGGTGCTGATCATGAGTGCAAACAGGTGCACGGCCACAAGCACCGTGGTGCAGGCGCTGAAGGCAATGAGCAGCCCCGGCGGGTAGTCATGTTCAGCGTCCAACTGCACCTCCACCATGGCCACCTGGGGAGGGGATGGGCAGCGGTGAGTGGCAGGCTGGAGAGAGCCACGCACAAGTCCTGCTTCTCCTCCCACCAGCCTCTGGGACCTTGGGCCTCAGTTTCCACATCGATGTAATGGTGGTAAGAAAGCCAGGTATGGTGGTGCACACCTGTAATCCCAGCACTCTGGGAGGCTGAGGCAGGAAGATCTTAAGTTTGAGCTCAGCATGGGCAACTTGGTGAGGCCCTGAGCGAGCCAAAAATTAGAAAAAGGCCGGAGATATACCTAAGTGTGAAGGCCTTGGGTTCAACTCCTGGTATCATCCAGAGACTGGGGAGCCTAATGAAACCTGTCCACCTCGGTTTGACAAGAGGAAAGAAAACTGGTGAGAAGCCAAGCTCCCAAATTTGATCCCCAGTATCACACACACAAAAAAGAAACCTAGTGAAAAAGATAGCTTGGAGTCCAGAAGCTAAGTGCATTTAGGAAAGTCATTTAACCTCTTAGCTTCAACTCTTTTTTCTTTTTCTTTCTTTCTTTCTTTCTTTCTTTCTTTCTTTTTTTTTAGGGATAGTCTATTAATACACAGGATAGGGGCCAGGGAGATGGCTTAGTAGAATAAGCACTTGCCAGGCAAGCACAAGGGCCTGGGTTCAATCCCCAGTTCTGCAAAACAAAACAAAACAAAACAAAAAAAAGTAGGATTATCTTTTTTTTTTTTTTTTTTTTAACATTGAATAAGGTATCTTACATTTATTTTCTTTCTTTCTTTTTTTGGATTATCTTAATTAAATGAGAGTTCCTAGAATATGGGAAACACTTCCAAATGATAGACCTGCCAATGCCAAATAACCACCATAAATGGCCAAAATAGTAAGTCTGACATTATGCACATTTTACCATAATTTTTTTTTTTTTTTTTTGAGACAAGGTCTCACTATGCAGCTTGGGGCTGGCCTTGTGCTCACCTTCATGGCCCCCCAAGCTGGTCTTGAACTCACAGAGATCCTTCTGGCTCAACCTCCCGAGTGCTTAGATTACAGGTGTATGCCACCATGCCTGGTTCTAGGGCCACACGGTGGGCGCCCACATCCAGGGCCAAGACCACAGGGCATGTGGGGTCAGGGATCGAACTTGGGTCCTTTTGCTTGCCAGGTAGGTGCTTATGCCTCTGAGCTATCTCTCCAGCCCCTTTACTGTAACTGTAAAATAGGGGCTAGACTGTCCATAGTAGTGCAAGGGCTGTGGGTTCCAGCCTCACCGAGCTCCATGGCCACCCCTATCGGTCCTACCCTCACACTCCAACAGGGTGGCTGCTTCCTGCCTTGCAGCTGGGGCTGGACAGGGCACACACAGGCCTTTCTCGGAAAGGGAGGAACCAGAGAGGCTTCCAGGAAGAGCTGGGCTCAACCCCAGGGGGCAGACGGGCACCAGCAGCCCCAGGCTGTCTCCGGGACCAGAGAGATGCACCCACTGCTCTCCGGTTCCTGGAGGCCTGGGGCCACCAGGGCCATACTCCAGGTTGTGCCACCCGCTCCTGTCACCTGAGCCCTGAAAATTACCCTCATGCGAAGCAGCCAGCTCATCAGATTTTGTGTAGGAGTAGTGTGTAGCCAGCGGCTGCCAGGTCATCGCCAGAGTGCTGGGGGCCAAGGGCCACAGGCACCAATGACAGCATCACTGGGTGGGGACTGGGGCCAGAGCTGAAAGCATATGAGAAACACTCTACCAACTGAGTCCCATGCCAGCACCCTGTTTTTCTTGTCTGTTTTTGAGACAGGGTCTTGCTGTGTAGCCCAGGCTGGCCTTGAACTCATAATGATCCCCCTGCCTCCTCATCCAAGTGCTGGGATTACAGGCGTGCACCACCACGCCCTAGCCACTCTGCTATTCTGGAGGTCCTGGGGATTAATCCAGGGGCTTTCAAATGGGGCCACCCCTCCCACCCTTCTTGAATTACTCACTTTGCAGATGGCAGGGTTTTGTTTTATTTTTTGTACCAAGTATCGAACTCAGGACCTTGTATCTGCCAAGTAGGCGCTTAGACACATGAGCTATATCCCCAGCAGATTACTCACTTGGAAATAACCTGGGCTGAGCTTGCGATCCTCTGCCCTCAGCCTGGCCGAGTTCTGGGGTTACAGGTGCGTGTTGGCTTCCTTATACTTTGTGACAGCCTCACTAAGTTTTGCTCAGGCTAGTCTTAAACTTGCCATCCTCCTGCTTCAGCCTCCCAGATAGCTAGGACTGTGCTCACTTTGGCAGTACCTGTACCAGGTGGCTGGGACTACAGGTGTGCACCACCACACCTGGCAGGGTAGTGACTCTACCGAGCACCTGCTGTCTTAAGTGGCAGGCTCAGAGGGGGAGTCTGATGCTGAAGTTTGCCCAACAGTTCCACGTGACACTGCCCCACCCCAGGAGGAAGCTGCTGCAGGCTGAGCCCCGCAGGAGGACCGTAGGCAGGACCCCCTTTGCCAGCTAGCCGGGCTCCCAACTCTCACGCCTTTGCCCTTTGCTAGGCTGTGTGATTCTGGCAGGTTCTCTCAACTTTCTCCACCTCAGTTTACACATCTGTAAATGGGAGCAGTGGTATGAGCCTTAGAGGGCTGTCCACATGAAAAAGCGCCCAGCACCCTGTGAAGTGTCAGGAAAAAGTGAGCTCTAGCATTATATTCAGTTTGTTTCTTTGAGACAGGTTCTTGCCACGTAATCGGCTGTCCTGGACCTCAGAATGATCCTCCTGCCTCAGCCCTCCCCACCTCCAGGCTGGTCTTATAAGGGTGACTCCATGCCCAGCACTAATCAGTTTAGAACCCGAAATGCAAAACCACTGTCTCCTTGAAGTTGTCCTGGCCGGACAGCCAGGCCCTAGGCAGGACCCTCCCCTCTCTATGAAAAAAAACGGGAAGTGGTGAGACCAAGGTCACAGTCCTGAGCTGACCCATGAGAATCTGAGGAAAAGGGTGGGTAATACTCAAACATCCAGGTTTGGGGTTTTGTAGGCCTCTTGAGACCATTTCAGTGGGCGGCTTTGTTTGCCTAAGAGCTTTCATAACTAAGGGCTCTGCTCCCAGAGGCCGAAGCAGGAGGATGGCAAGCATAAACTCCTCTTGAGAAGATCAGTGAGATCCTGTCTCAAAACGAAAAGCTCAGGCCAGGGCGATGGCTCAGTAGAATAAACACTTGCCTGGCAAGTGCAAGGGCCTGAGTTCAATCCCCGGTTCTGCCAAAAAAAAAAACCCGAAAAGCATTGGGGATGCAGCTCAGTGGCTCTGAATTCAATCCCCAGTAAGGAGGGAAAAAAAAAATTCCCCCAACTGACGAAGATACATATTTTGCAGCCTGGGAGTTTACTAAATAGTTCCAGCTTGTGTAAATTTGGGGCAGTGCCATCAGGATTTTGACTGTTTTTAAGATCACTGGTGGCCTAAAGCCAACCCTGAGAACTCGGTCCATGCGGGTGAGAAGGTGAGGGTCAGGGGGCAGAAGGGAGGGCCACATCCCACAGGCCTGGCGGGGGAGAGCTGGTCTCTGCTGGCAGCCCTGAACTCACCTGGGAAAGGCCAGGCCTCCGGCCCCCTCCCCACCCTCTTGCATCCTCTTCCTGTTTTGGCCCGCAGTCCCGGAAGCTGAAACTAGAGAAGGCCGAGCAGAGAGGCCTCAGCCTGGTGGCTCCAGGTCCTGGGGCTCTTTGGAGGGTCAGGCCCTGAGGCCAGCGCTGGGGTGTCTGTGGGGCTGGGATCGTGGCTGCAGGTAATTCCCAGCCTGGCCCTACACCCCTGCCTCTGTCTACCCAAAGTGCCCTGGCTCCAGGACTGTAACACACAGCCTCTGTGCTGCAGGCTGCATGTCTGTGAAAAATGGGGTTCACTGCATGGGGTTGTTACGAACATCCAAAGATTAAAAGAACACAGAGCCCTCTGCCAAGACCCGGCACACAGCGAAGTGTCACAGGGCCTGGTGCCGTCACTGCCGCCCTTTCTCAGTACTGGGAGTGGAACCCGCCTTGTGTGCAGAGCGACGTCGCACCCAGCCCTGGCTATGCTGCCCCGGCTGGGCAGCCTGCGCTGTGGTCCTCCTGCCACAGCCTCCTGGAGTGCCCAGATTACAGGCCTGTGTTGGCATGCTCGGCTCAACTCTTGTTCTTTTACAAATGAGTAAATTAAGGATCTGGGGAGGGGACACCAGCTGCCCCAGGGTTACCCTTCCACTGGGTAAGAGACCTTATGTCAGAGCCACTCAGAGGCCCATTTTCAAGGGGCACCGACATGTGATACCACCACTCTGAGAGGCTGAGGCGGAAAGGTTGAAAATTCAATCCCAGTCTGGACAACTCAGAGACTTAGACCCTTTCTCAAAATAAAACATTAAAAAAGGGTCGGGATGTAGCAGCGCAAATGCCCCAGGTTCGATCCCCAGTACTGTAAAGTAAGATAAAATAAAGCCCACATGCAATGGGGGGCCAGGACGCTTCCCTCAGTCACCGCGAAGGTTAAATGAGGATCTTTAGTATAAATGTTTGGCGCAGGCCAGCCCAAGGAGAAACTCAATAAATCTCAGTTAAAAAGCAAAACAGCCCGAAGCGGAAGAGAAACAGCTCCTAGATGCCGATCCCAGGCTGGAGAAGGCAAACCCGCTTGCCCCGTCCTGTGCCCACTGCGGGCAACTTGTATGGTCCCCAATGCTGCGCCATGTGGCCAGAGCCCCCTCACACACCACACACTCCAGGGCCAGAAACTGCAGCTGTGGGGACACACCCTGCGGCAGGGACGCCGAACCTTGGGTTGGGGAGACGCAGGGGCCAGAAGAACATGACGGCTGCCCTTTCCGCTAGGGACCCCCATTACCTTGCCAGACCCCACCATTCCCAGCTGACCATGTATACATAGTGCCTTAGGAACCACAGCAGCCCCACGGGCCACATACACAATGTGATTCTGGGAGAGACAAAAGCCAGGGTTCAGTGTAAATCACGGATCTTGATGACAAGGCTTCGCAGACATCCAAGGCACTGCTTT